TAGCTGCATAAATAGAGAAGTTATAACGAAAAATCTCATGTCTGAACAATCAGTTGTATGGGAGCTATATGTTATAGTGGTCCGATTCTTCCGGTTCCGACAAATGATTAATACATTATAAAAATACACCAACCTACCAAATTTGATCCGTATATCTCGAAAACTGAGAGACTAGATTGCATACAAACAGACGGACAGACAGACAGACAGACAGACAGACGGACAGACGGACATGGCTAAATCGACTCAGCTCGACATTCTGATCATTTAAGTAAACATTTTAATGGGTCTATCTCTTCTTATTCTGGTACTTACAAACATCGGACCAAAGTTATAATACCATTTCATGCTCATGAAAGGTATAAAAATACTTCATCAGTATCCTTTTTTTCAAAATTATCGTATTCTCTACTAATTGTTTGAAGTCAATGAGTGTCATTCGATTGCTCGACTTGCTTTTCATAACAGCGTTTTTCACTCGCTTGACTTGATTTCGAAAGAGTATATCAATGCCATATTTGAAATCAAATAAGTACACTGCAGCTAAACATTACCCGTATACAGTTCATAGCAATGAGCTCATACTATTTAGATGGAAGTGAGTAAACTCATGCTGTTGTCTGATACATACATATCGGCATCTGAGTGGAAGATTGATCTATCTCGGCAGCCAGTTCGAAAACGCCCTATCTCAGAAAACTTTTTAAGAACAGCCTATTTCAGAATTCGATTCAAAAACACCCTATCTCATCATATTTTCAATATATTTTCATTTGAGATAGGGCGTTATTGAACCAAATTCTAAGATAGGGAGTTCTTGAAAAGTTTTCTGAGATAGGGCGTTTTTCAATCAAATTTTAAAATAGGGCGCTCTTCACCCATATTCTGAAATAGGGCGTTTTTGAAGTTTTCTGAGATAGGGCGTTTTCGAACTGGCTGCCGAGATAGGTCGACTTTCCACTCAGGTGTCGATACGTACAACACTGTCTGTTCGCGAAACTACCAGCGCGACATTTTAACAAGTTTTGAAAATTGAATAACCCTTTATGTAATTTGAGTTCTTTTTTTATAAAAATATAGTCAACTCAACAACAAAAACCATAAAAAACGAAGTTTCAAACTTTCTCAAAAAAACCACCAAAATTTAAAACTCTGTTGTCAGAATTTTTAAAAAACTTTCGCGTATGCACTCTTATAGTCCACTCAGTTTTAGTAAAATAAAATGCAAGTTTAAAGTGGCTACGAATTCGCATTGCTTTTTAATATTTTTAACTTTTTTTAAATTTTGTTTATGCATCTTATGTACAAAAAACTTGAGTGAATATGCTTTATGTGCACCTTCAACGAAAAAAATTCTCACAATCACCGCGTATTTTGAGCCACTTCATACTTGCACTTTATTGTACTTAAATTTAATGGACAGTAAAACTACATACCCGAAAGCATGATACAAAAAAGAAGGTAGTTTAATTGTCACTTTTCGGAAGCCATATTAACTACCTGACAATTAAGAAGATGTGACATTTCGTGATGCCATACCTAGTCCTCAATAATCGTTTATTTATTGTGAAAAAATTATTTACAAAATTAAAAGGAATTTTGTCTTCGATCTGAGCAATAACGAAAATGGAAATTCATACAATGTCATATTTGAAAAACAACTAACCAACTTTGAAACAAAAGACGCTAAATATGTTTTCCACCGCAAAACTTAGTTTTTATTAAATTCGTTTATTCTAAAGCCAATCACCGAAAAGGATTTGGATGTGCTTTGCAAACGTTAGCCCCAGCAAGGCTTAAATTTCGGTGCTTCATGATATGAAAGATAATATAGAGTTTGGAAGTAAGTAGTTAAAGGGCAGCCCAATGCCTTAAGTGCAGCTTGTCTGTCACCGCAGACATCTAAACTCATTCCCCTCCACCTATTTTCCACCACGTAATCCATGACCTTGAGGATTGCAAATACCTCAGCCTGGAAGCATACTTCCCAAGAGAAAAGTTAATCTTATCCCCATTAACTCCGATAAAGACCTCAGATCCTGACACAGTCAGTTTTGGGGCCATCAGTGATGATTCGATTATGTGTGAGTCCGGGCTCAGTGCTGGTATCAAACCAGCATTCAGCCTCAGGGAACTCAACATTGTAGAATCTCTAAAACAAAGGTAGTGGTGGCGTACTATCCTGTGGCATTGAAAAGACACAAGTGCTCAGATCACTGCCGCTAGCAATTTCCGCCTCGCCCCACTTAGTGTTATACCGGCATCCGTTTCATTCTAGTCTGCAGGTGGCCTTTAAGGTTTCCCTACGTATGAAGATACAAAGTGACGGTAAGTGCAGCAGTGCATCTAGAGCAGCGCCGCGTGTCGTAGAGAAAGCTTCCGTACAGCACACGGCAGCAGTTCTTTGAAGTTTTGCAAGCAGACTTCCCACGCTCTTGATTGAGTATCTGCTCCACCATGCCTGTTTACATTGCCAAAATGCTGCCAATTCTTCAGAGGTTGTGTGTTCCACGTTAGATTTCACGATAGTTTTGTATACAGAATTACTTCTAGATACTT